ATAACGAACTATTTTCCGCTGGGTACGAAAACTAAGCTTCTTTTTAGGTCCTGGCCGGGGCTCTAGATCAATGCGTTGTGTCTTGTGAAAGCGTTGAATTGTTCCTGCTACGGTCGACCGAGGTAGGCCGGTGACCTGTGCGATCTCATGCTGGCTGGTGCCCTGTTCGCTTACGGAAATGATCCAAACTCGCTGGTCATGAGAAAGATTGCGACCTTTATAGGAATTTCCATTAATTTGATCTGCAAAGATATTCTCCATTGTGGGTTGTGCTGGGGTGAGAGAGAGCGGGGTTGTGAGCAGAGTTTTGTTGGCGTGGACCCTGACGGCGACCCGCGACACCGAATTGTACGTATCAATGCCGAAATCGTTGAATAGCTATTAAGTAGCAGCGCTTACAAACTCAGTGCCGTTATCTATTTGTATCCTATGAGGTATACCGAAGGCCTGGATCTAACGGAGTATCCCGGCGGCTACTATCCTCGCTATCTTATCTTTTAGAGGTATTAACATGCAGTATTTAGAGTAGTGATCCCTTATATGTAGCACGTATTTATCCTGCGTAACTGGATTAGGGTGGTTCCGGTAATCAATTAGATCTATCTATACCCGCTCGAATATCTCTCTTGAGAGGATCGCCTGCAGGGCCCGCGGGGCAGGAGGAGGGTACCTTGCTACTATATAAACACGATAGAGACGTAGTAACTTTTCAACGTCCTTTTTAGTAACTCCGTAATAGCTCTATTGGAGGTCCTTAAACGTCGTAAGTTAAGCTACAACACGTTAGTATATAAATATTTATAACTACTGTAGAATACGTACCTGAATGGCTATTACTTAAATAGGCGTCTTAGATGGCGTTGAATACCTCATAAGTCTTTAACACCTTTCGTTTAGTAGGGTAGCGGGGTGTCCCTTTTTTATAGAGGCCTGATTTGCCTAAACCCTCTAGGTAGTAGATGAAGTTATTTATCGTATTACGCTTAGAGCTCCGTGTGGCTTCATGCGTGCTAAGGAGCCGTAAGTAGTAGCTATGATATTTTTAATCACTGAAATATATCCTATTAGGGGTAGATTCAATATACGCGTTGAAGGAGGTCTTGGCAGCCTTACTAAACGCAGTGAGTACTCGATCAGGGTTGAAAGGACGCGGAGGAAGTAGCTTAATAATATCGACTGCAGGAGCCTCATCCTTAGTAGCAGCACGGGCGGGAGCATGCTTAGCAGCAGTAGGGCGCTTAGCAGCGCGCGCGGGGTTGGCGGGGGATGGAGAAGACATGATTTGATTGAAGTGGATAAGTGTTTGGTCAACTGAAGAATTCGTTGAAGCTTACTGACCTGCTGGTGCATTCTCAAGCCCGTTTTATGGGCGAAAAATGGCCTCCTACGATGCATAAACGCGTGTTCAGTCTTCTGCTTTTTCACAGTTGAACTAGGCCTTATAAACAGGCGGGCCTACGCACCGCTGCAGGCGCGGGTCGGTGTTGATACATTTATATGATGGGGACAAGGATCGCTTCAGGGGGTTGAGTCAGTCCTGAGGCGAGATATCACCCCACTTCGGCCCACAACACCGAAATAGACGACTAAAACAGTGGAATATGCACGCAACACTTATGCGCGCCTATTCGGTGCAAATAGACGTCTAAAACACGTGTTTAGACGACTAATTGTATGCAACGCCTAATCGGTGCAACAACAGTAAATAGCAGCGAGGATGTATAGTTCTGTCGACGAGGCCGTGTATAGTCCTCGACATGTGATAATTGCCTCCTAATAAATTAATGCGCCCGGGTTAAAAATGTCGGATAACCAACCAGCGCTGCGACTACTGATGCGTCGACCGAGGACGCAGCCTACTGACGTACTTATCGAGGTTATACGCATTTATTGTGGCAAAGTCTAGGTGCTACTACTCCTTTCTTCGCCGCATAAGCTGCACTGCTGCCTAAATCACGTGATACATGCTACGCGCTCTTGGCCTGTTAGCTTGTGCATCCTAAATTAGATCAAGCATTACCCCGCTTTTGCTATCTTGGCTCTCTGGCTAATTGGAAGCATACTATTTATAAGCTCAGGAGGTAGATGCACTAAGCGCCTGTCAGCTATGAATCTCAAAGATCTGAACTAAATCGCAAGAATACTCGCCAACCTTTACTCGCCCACTGCTCTACAAAACCGGAAGCCACCATCTACTCAGTTCGAAAGATTTTTGCACTTCCACCTTGAACGCAAACAATTATCTACTCCTTGACCTTCACTATGGGGAAATGCGACGACTTGAAGAAATATTTCCGCTCGAGGTTTTCCCGCAGTCCCTCTCCGCAGCCTCCAACGCCTGGCACGTCAGCCTCACAACCATTGAAGAACACAGTTGTCGACCGCACCAGCCTTGGAAGCGGCTTGTCGATGAGCACACTATCGCAAGAACGAACGTCGACGAATCCAGATCCCGCAGCCGCTACCGCAACATCCACTGTTCCAGATCTCCAAAACCCGATACCACATCCAACTACCGCCAGTGCAACGACATCTATCAGCATAGAAATCCATGGGCCAACTGCAACTGCTTCGATGCCTCCTAGAGCCATTGCCGCATTGCCCTTTACTTCTGTGAAAAGACCAGACAGTGGAGCTTTGAGGAAGCATATTGAGAAGCTTTCGGGCGATGAAAAAGAAGCCTTTCTAAGAGCTAGTAAAGAGATCACGGAGAGCACCCTCTTACACAATATCAAAACCTTAGACGACGCTCACAAGGATTCATCGAAGCTTCGGAAACATGCAGAACCTCTAGCTAAGTTCCTTAATCTCCTGGATCGGTTCCTCGGTGGGGTTACGATTGGTATACAACAGAGCCCAGACATCTCATCGCTTGTTATCGGCGGTGTTCGCCTGGTAATCGATCTCGCCAGGAATTTTGTTTCCTTCTTTGATAGGCTGTCGGAAATGCTTTATCAGTTTAGCGATTTCTTGGGTCCTCTCGCAGAATATGCAAAGTCTGCAGGAGAGAATCCGTTAATCCGAGACGCCCTTTCGGCCATATATGGGGACATACTGGAGTTCTTTGGGCACGCAAGGTGTGTTTTTATCGATCTTCACGAGAAGAAACGGAAATTTGTGTCTATTACGGTCTTTTTCAAGTCTTTGTGGGAACCATTCGAAGAAAACTTCGGAAAGGTGCGAACAGATATGAAGCATCACTTAGAAGTACTCGGCCATGCTACTAGAGCTTCAACAGCGGAGCAGGTCTACCATCTCACTGCAAGTGAAATAGGGAGAAGAGAGGGCGAAGAAAGTAGGTTTACCTATAAATATATCTATTATTATAAAGATGTATTGCTTACTGCTAAACTAGGGAAAGAGAGAGAAGATTTCCTCACCTGGATATCCTCAACTTCGCACGAAGAGACACATAGGGCTGTTTATGAAAAAAAGCACCCTGGTACAGGGGATTGGTTTCTCCAAGAACCAAAATTTCAGGAGTGGCTTTACAGCCCAAAGTCCTCCCTTCTTTGGTGCTATGGCAAACGTAAGTGCATTAGTTTTCTTGTAAAAGACTTGCTAAATAGATATAGCTGGGGCTGGGAAGTCGGTATTAGCGTAAGTAATTGTTCCTAGTTTTCAATAGCTATCTAATCGTAGAACAGTTCGAATGTTATCGAGACAGTTATCGAAACTTTTGGCCCAGAAAAAGCAGTCGGAATATGTTACGCCTATTACGATTACACCGTCGCAAGCTCGCAAGGTTTTGTGCGTACAATTTTGTCCCTTATTAAGCAGTTATGCCGGACGTCAGCAATTCCCGACGCCTTCAAGAGCATAAAGCGGAATGCCGACCCAGCTTCTACATTAGGCGACCAGCATGGTTTTTCAACAGTTGCCAAAAGTTTCACAGAAGTCTTTGTCATGATCGACGCGCTCGATGAATGCCCTGAAGATGAAGAGAGACCAAAGATCCTTCGATTCCTTACGGAAGTGATGAAAGAACTACCTCTGGTGCGGGTTTTTATCACCAGTAGACGGGAAGCAGACATTACATATACGCTTGAATCTCGTGGAACGCCAACCATACAGCTCGAGGCCCGCAACATGGCCGCAGACATCGAGAAGTATGTGAGCAATAAAATTGAAAGACTACAGTCCGGCCTAGACGGAAGGAAACTCTACGTCAAAGATGAATGCCTCGTGCAGAAGATAATTGCTACCCTTACAAATAGAGCTGACGGAATGTAAGACTTTAATTTTAGACACGACAAGAAGAGTTATTAATGTTTACATAGGTTTCTCTGGGTGGATCTTCAACTGCGACAGTTATGCAAAGCCAGCGCAAGACGGAGGGATGAATACGTGGAACAAGCCTTGGACAAACTACCATCAGGTCTAGACGCTACCTATCGTAGAATTCTGGAGCAGATTCAGAGTTATGACGACCATATGAAGGACCTCGCATTTAACTGCCTTATGTGGGTTTTTTATGCGCAACGACCCTTAACAATGGCCGAACTGCAACACGCTATTGTTGTTATCGACACTCATATAGCCTCACGAAATTCGGGACCAGTGGCAGAGGATGAAGAAGCAATACTTTCCGCGTGCGCAAATCTAGTCGAAAAAGGCCCTGAAGGGGTAGTCCGGCCTATCCACTATTCAGTCAAGGAATTTTTCACCGATCCCGCTCAAGCAGCTTCCGGTATGCCAGTATACATTAACCGAGTTTCCCATATCCATCAAAAGCTTGCAGAAGCTTGCATCAACGAGTTGCAACTTAGGCTCTCATCCGGGCCGTCCACATATTGGTACGACTTAAAACGCTGTATTGAAAAAGCTCCGTTTGTATGGTATGCAGCACACCATTTCGATGGTCATTTGCTTGAAGCAGGCGATCTATCGGAGGAATCGATGCACAAGCTCAATGGGTTTCTAAGCCTTGGAGACGGCTTCATTGCTGCCGTACAACAGTTACGTGCTGTTAACGGTTACCCTAGTAACCAATATTTTCCGGACACATATCAGAACTTCGTTCACCTTCGCCCTGCCGATAGTATTTCACTAGTTTTTAGTTCACAGCTTTTCCACCTCGGATGTTTAAAGGATTATCGGCAAAGAAAGAACTTGCCAAAAGGCTTAATCTATCAGGCCGCTTCTTCCGGCCAAATAAAAGCTATTAGGCAGCTCATTGAGTATGGCGTCGATGTCAACGAGAAAAACGAAATGGGAGTAGGAGCACTTTATCCTGCGGCAGCTAACGGCTTCGTAGAGATAGCTGCACTTCTGGCTAGCAAGGGTGCCGACGTCAACGCGCAGGGCGGCTTCTACGGCAATGCTCTCCAGGCTGCTTCTTCCGGGGGCCGCGAGAAGATCGTTCAGATACTGC